GAAGTGTCTGGGTACTCTGCCATCTTGACCCCACCTCCCTCAAGCCTATGATTTCTAAGTGTAGGTCCTGTGGGCCTTAGTGGAGAGGAGTAAGCCACGTGGCTTGACGAAGCAGGGCTGGGTGGGCGTGGTTATACAAAATAATGTTGAACTGAGGATCAGCTTCCCCTTTCTGCTTGGGTCCCTCAAGCATCATGCAGTTAAGCAGTTCTTCGACTTAAATTCAGTTTGGCAGGTCACCTTTAGAACAGGGCCCTTCATAAAACTGCTTTGTGCATAATAACCTTTTATGACTCTTAATTGGGGTAGCGAGCAGCGGGTGGTTTTTATATACCATATGTCGTATAGTACAACAGGGCAAGATAGAGGAAAACATGAGTCTTGATACTGAAAGTATTGTCTCATCAAGTCAAGCCCCTGCCTGTGGTGTTTTTTTCCTAACATAGTTTTTTCTTATGTAAATACTTCCTAGCAGGGAAGAAAACAGATTTGATAATGTTTATATTTTGATCAGTATTTCTTACATGAGTTGCTAGAGGTAATGCTTATAATTTTGTTTTGAAAATGAAATTCCTGTAGAAAGATCATTGCAATGTCAGCCCCTGTCATTTCCAACCCTCTTATCCCAGAGCTCATCTGTAGTATGTCAGGTCTGGCTCACTGCTCTAACCAAAAAAGGCAAAGAATGTGTAAGCCCTGCTCCCTTCAGCGAATTATCTTGGTGCCCATGATGGTCTGTGTTCGCTCTGTGTGAACTGGATCCACAGGAAGCAGAGGAATGGTAGACACATTTTCTCCTGCAAGTTTGGGGAGTCTGTGAGGTGAGATTCCAGAGCGTTGCCAGGAGTATAAATCCTTGACATTATCAGAGCTATACCTTGGGCCTTACTCTACATTTTAAACATTTCTTGGCAGTCAGATAAATCCAGACAGTTTATCACAGGTGCCTGCCACCTCTCCACGTCCCCTCCTCAGAGGATCCTGAAACAGAAGGTAGCAGCAAGTCTGATGTGACTCTTGGTATTTCCTGGCTCCCATGGCCCCTCAGGGGTGAGGCAGGGTTAGGTGCTTGCAGCCAAATGCAGGATTCAGCCTAACCCGTCACCTCTACGACTGCCCCAGTATAAGTTATACATAAGCAGGAAGGAAAAAGCAGCAAGGATTCAGGTGTGCCTTGTCTTCCCTTGTTTATGATTGGTAGTGGAGTAAGTTGGAGGAGGAAGGGTGAATGTCTGGGAGTGGAGTGCAGGGAAGAGCCATGTAAACTGTCCTGAGAATCACGGGTAGGGAGAGAAGACTGAGGAGCAGACGTACTGCAGCACCGTTGTTGTCGTGCTGATGGTGCGGGTCTTGGTCTCTCAATTCCTGTGCCAGGCAGGGTCGCATGAGTGCTAGATTAAAGGCTCGGTCCTGAATTACGCACAAGTGTGAGGTATTTTGAACATGGGACGCATGGCCACTTTGCCACACCATTTCTCCACCTGAGTGATACTTGGTATACTGAAGAATTGCTGGCTGCAGCACACTTGCATGAGTCTAAAGAGTTTGAATGAGTCTCGTCACATTGAAGTTGGTTTTAGTGGGATTGAGATGAGGCCTGGATTTCTTGGGAGGGCACGATTTGGAACCTAGTAACAGCAGAGCTTGTGTACCACACTTTTGACTGAAGGCAGGCTGATAGGTTGAGATAAAAGATTTTGATTTTTCCTGAGGTCTTTCACCCCTGCCTTTATAGAACCAAAGAAGGTAGCCTGGAAAGGCAACTAGTGAGGGAGGAGCACCGTGACCTGCCTGAGGGAGGAGGAGAAATAGGAGGCAAGTGAAAGCTGGAGTTGTATTTAGGGATAGTTTTGTTTGGATTCACTCTTAATGTTTTTGTTGGTCCATGGCAACATTTATAGGTGACTTTATTTGGAAAGCCTGAATCTATTCAAAGAAGAGAGAGAGTGGGAGGGGGTCATAGAGTCAGTACTACTGAGCCTATTTAGGGGACTGTAAAATTATTATAGCTTCACTTTGGCCTGATCAGAGTTTGCAGTGAATTCTGATCTGCCTGCCTCCTCGGGGCGTTAAGCTAGGTCATTCAACCATCCCAGTTAAGCAGTTTTAAAGGCAATCTCTACCTGTATTTGGATATTCAAAGTATATATGCAGTCACCCTTACTGATGTGTTTAAACCTTTTGGCCCTGGGTCTTTTTTTGTTCTGTTTATCAGGCTAAACAGGTTTTAATTCTTTTCAATGACTGTCCCACTCTCACCTCACCTTTTCTGTAGTGATGCCTTCCTCCTAGCTCATGTACCGCTTTTAAGATAGAAATCCCTCTGAAAAGTGTATCCAGTGGCATGAAGAAATGTGAGCAGGATCCTTCAGCTTTCAGAGTGGCCTGAGGAGAGGGCTTCAGTGTGGAACATATTTCCTTTTATTGAAGTGCAGTTTCTTTGGTGATGTCTAGAATCTAGTATCAGTCTACACACTCCTCCAAACAGCAACACATGGGATTTTTTTTTTTTTTAAGATTGCCTAGGAGAGAGTTCTTTGAACTCTGATCAACTGCCTTCCCTTTTAACCATGGGTAGATTTGCTAGTTAGTCTGAAGAACACCCACGAGAATGAGGAGCCAAGGATTTTGATCACAGCTCTGCTCGCTAGAGACGGTGATTTTCAAACTGTTCTGGAGGAGCTACTTCAGCTGAAGTGCTCTGTGGCTGCCATGGATGGATGGCTCCAAGTTGAGGTGGCTTTCTTTTGTCATGTTTGGTCAGAGTATTTGGGCGGGGGCAGCAGGGGGTAACCAGTAACTATTTTATCCTCTTTGTACTTAGCATTCAGAAGTTTATTAAGTGAATTCACATCCAGGCATAGAGAATTGGTTTTTATGCTTTATATTATTTCCCTTGAACATGTACAGCCAAAGAAGAAAATGGGTTTTAAGGGGAAGGGACAGGAAACCCTGACATTTCACGTCCTTAGATTTGAAAACTAATAGACTGAAAGGTGACTGTTGACCAAAGTCTAGGTTCTAGGAACATTACTTAACATGGTTTACTTATGCATAATGTTGTTTTAGATATTGTTCATTCACTGGGCAAATGTGTTTACTGGGCTCTGCTGAGCATGGTGGATGCTGGGGTGATGCAGATGGGCCTGATCCCTGCCTCCTGGAGTTTATCAGTCTGATGGGGAGGGGGAAGGGGTTATTAACAATTTACATAAATCATTGCTTAATTTTAGTTGTGAAAAATCTAAGGACAGAAGTGGAACACTAGGAGACCTTACTTTCTACTCCTGTCTCCTGGATGAGGGTTCAATTGGTGGCCTGTATGAGCAGCTCTCATTTCAGGTGGAAGACAGGTTACCTGCAGTAATGTGGGGGATTAGAGCTCCCTGTCCATGTACCCTGTTCCCTCCTCCCACTCCTCACTTGGGCTTTTGAGCTTGAACTAAGTATTCTTATTTTGGCCTATTTCTTGCCTCCTCACTCTTCCCAGCGGTACTTAAGCTTTTATCCTCAAACCCTCTACCTCCCCAAGTATGCGTAAGGTGTCCAACATTGAGGAATCTAGAACTTGAAGAAAAACCTTAGTGATGTGATCAGTTCCCCCATTTTCAGATAAGAAAGGTGAAGGCTAAAGAGCAGAGAGGGAACATGTCCACACTGACAGCAAGTTAGAAGCAGAGCCAGAGCTGAACCCAGGCCTGTGCTTTCTGCTATAATCCTGCAGGAGATGCTTTAATCAGCAGGGGCCCAGCCTCAGGGACCTCCTTCTCCTTGCAGAAACACCTAGGGGGTAAGGCAGCTAGAGGAAAAAAGGCAAGCCCACAGGGGCTTGTAAAGCACAGATGCTTACATGGTCCAGGTCGGTTATTCCATGTGGATTTACCAAGAGTCTTCTTTCTGCTGGGAGCCGAGAAAAGAATATACTCAGCTCTTGTCATCAGGGAATTCATCTTCTAGGGAACATAGAAGTCTGACATGTATGAAGAGAAGGCAAAAAGAGCAGCCTGTTAGGGGCTAAGATACGCATCCAGTGCGTAGGAGGGCTGTGTAGCAGGGGAGATGGGGAACGGTCTCCTGAATGAGAAGGAAGTATTTCCTTAGAGCGGTGGAGCCCAGTGGGCAGGCAGGAGTGGGGAGAGGGCTTTCCAGGACCAGGAGAAGAGAGAGGCCCCTCCAGGCTTGAGGGGGGAATCCTAAAGAGTGGCCCCTGCAGAAAGAGTTGGGGAGCTGTGAGAAATACATTCGAGAGGAGATGATTTTAGAAGACCTGGAGCTCTGAGTGGTCGTGGAGATCGTGCAGTGCCGGTCTTCACTTTCTCTAAGGAGGGACTTGACAAAAAGTTGTGCTTTTGGGAGATGAGTCTGGTAGCATGTTCAGGGGGTTAGGGTGGGGAAACTATCAGAAGGTCTCATCAGGGACTCGCTGTAGTTACCCAGGCATGGAATGAGGAGGTCCTGGAGCACGGATAGTGGCAGCAGGCTCTTTTGAGCTTCTGTAGTGCTTGTTTGCTTATTTGAGGCTTATTCAGTTTTATTTAATAATGGATTAATTCTACTGTAAATATAACTTTCTGAAAATGATAAATCTGAGTTAATCTCTAAGCTTTAACATAGAAAGCATGGCTTTGTAGTGGTTTTTCTAGCCACATCTAAATGGAGCCTTCAATGTAAAGCTTAAATATGTGTATTTTGTAAGGCATTTTGAAACGGATGAGAAACAAAAGAGAATGCAAATAGTAAATGTCACTGGTTTTTACTTCCAGATACCAAGTACTAAGCTGAATACCATTTAATTCACTGTTGCCAGTGTTGCATTCTGCTTTCCTTTGATGTAGAGGTTTACCTTTGGAGAGTTTGAGAACCCTAGCATTGTAGTGTAGCTGAACAGGGAAGGGGTGGTCTGGTGAGGAGAACGAGAGGAGAGTAGCTCTGTTGGCTCCTTAGGCATACCGTCCAGCACACACAGATTGAACTGCCTTATCTTCTCTTTGTCTCCTTAGGAATATAAACAGAAGCTTGCTCGGGTAACCCAGGTCCGCAAGGAACTGAAGTCCCACATTCAGAGCTTGCCAGATCTCTCACTGCTGCCCAACGTGACAGGGGGCTTAGCCCCCCTGCCCTCTGCTGGTGACCTGTTTTCAACTGATTAGGACAGATACCATGTGGCTCCAGATTCCCATCTGTACCAGCAGAAAGAAGAGGGCTCAAGTCATGGTTGGAAATAACCGTCTAGCCCCTGGTTCTGTCCCTGCTTCCACCCGGCCCCCCAGCCTCAAGAAAGAACCACAGAGCCCTAACACTCTTTCTGGCCTCTCACGTTGAGCACAATTCAGAACAGTGGCGAGTGGGACCGCTCCCGATTCACATGTGGAAAGAATACAAACTCTCTCTCCCACTTCATGTTTTCATGCCCCTGTTGGTTTTCCATTTTTAGCTCTGTTTTTACACCCAAGAAGTTATAAAAATCATGTGTACCTCTGGAGCTTTCAGAAGAATATTTGTCCCTCATGACAGCATTTCCTCATGAAAGCAGCTTCACCTCTCTGAGCTGGGCTTGTTCACGTTAGGTAGAGGCTCCACTGAGGGGCTCTCTCTGGTGCCGTTGGCTCTCCCGGCTACCATCTGCCCCCAAAGGTCAGAGGCACAACTCCTGAGCAGCTTTGCCATCAAGGGTTTGCCAAACGTCTGATCCTCCTTTACCATTACTTCTACTAGTGACGCATAGTCGAAGGTTAGGTACATTTATTTTGTAAGCAGACTAGGGAATTTATCAGTAAGATCCAAAGCTGATCTGGGGACATGAAGTCAGGGATGGAGTAACAGGGATCACAAGCATGAGTTAAAAATAAGTTATTTGCTTCAAGTTCCTTCATAAACCTTCCCAGGCTGCACTTACCAAGGGTCCTACCCACTGAGTCATAGAGGACGTTCCTAAAAACACGCTCCTTTGACCCCTATTGGTTGCGAAGGCACTTCAGTGGTGAGTCTACACACCAGCATGCTGAGGGGCCGGACTCTGCATGGGTGTTGCTTTGACCCTTTTTTTGGAGGGGGCATGGGGAGCACACACTAACATTTACTCCACTGTGTAGACATTTGTCCACAGTTTGGTGACTAAACTTGAAGCTTTTCCCCTGCAAATATGATGCTCTGTGCATGTTAGTCTGCCAGCCAGTTCCTGCCACTGCATGTGTCCTTGCCTTGTACCTATTTGAGGAGGAGGACTTTGTATCACATGTTATTGGGGGAGGCTGGGGGAGGGAATATTAATTTTGGGTTTTAATTCCAGTATCATGCCAGCTGACATTATCACGATATAATGTAATTAGGATTTTTATCTTGCTTTTAGTAAAGGTTAGGCCTGCTAACTGTAAATCATTCTAATTTGGCAGACTTATTTTTGAAATTGGAAAGGCCAGAAAACAGTTCACCCCAATAGTGTGATAGGAATTATAGCTGAAATACACAAGCTATAAAAAGGAATTCAGTGGAGAGGCGCTTCAGAATCTGCATAATTTTGAGATGCTGTTGTCAAGATTACCCCAAAGCCATTGGCACGTAATTTTACATATTAAACAAGTAGACATAACTTGTGCCTGCCATAAAGTTGAGAACAATGAAAAGTCATAGCAGGTAGTCAGTTTAACTTTGTGTAGGGCTGAATAGCGGTGAAGTGCTTACTGACATTGCCTGTTCTATCACTGTTAAATAATGAATCTAAAGTTTTTCTCCCAGAGGCCACAGGTCAATAGGTGGTTTTACTAAAATTGCAAGATAAATTCTAATCTTTGCTACTTCTGCACATGTTCCCCCACCCCTACATGGTGTGCTGATTTATTCCTACATAGAAGCTTGTTTCTAAACAGACCCATCTTGGACATTCTCTGTGCTTTCCCCAAGGAAGCAAAATTTTACCAGCCGCAAACCAACCGAAAGGGTATAATAAATGTTTGCTCTAATCAGCTAGATGAAAATGTTATAATGGATGTAGTCCACTGCTATGTTTTATCTGAGTCTTTGACCAGCAACTGGTGCATAGTTATTACAGCAAGAGAAAGAAATGAAATTGTAGCAATTATGTAAGTGAATGTGTTGGTCTCTTAACACCTGTTACTACTAGTGGACTTCCTGTGAGGAAGTTAGCTTTTTTTTTTTTTTTTTTTAATGAAATGCTTTTTGTTTTTAAAATCTTAATTCTTCTCTCCACATCCTCCCAAAGTGTGCTTACTTCAGTTGTTTAATTTAAATGAATCTTTCTCCTTCCATGTCTGAGGTGATTTGAGGAGGGCAGGGTGGGTTTTGTTCTTGCTTTTTTTTTTCTTCTTAGGGCATCCATAGGCCTCAAGGGACCTTTCCTTTAGGTCATATTCCTCAGAAAGTCTTCAATCCTCCTTTGTTTTTGTTTTGTTTTGTTTTTTTCTTAAAGAATATTTTTAAAGCTTAAATTTGTATATTGATTTAGGACTTTATTTAGAAGTATAGGCTGCTATTGGTGGCAGCAGTATATTCTGAAATGTCTCATAGATATATATTTTTGAATAAAGATGGTGTTGTTGAACAACATTGTGTGATGTTTCTTTTCCCTACCTCAGTACAGAAAACTCAAGGCTTTCTTTGTAAGCAGCGAGTGATTAGTAATCACCAATAGAGATTGTGCTGTCTGCACAGAAAATCTTGTCCTTTAGGAGTTTTTGTGACTGTTAGTGGCCCATAAATACTTAGCATGTACATAGTATTTTCTGGTTCTTTCCACGGGTTTAATTAGCTTTAATTAGCCAATCCACACAGTACCCAGGAGAGGTACCTCCATAGTTTTATCCTCATTGTACAGAAACGGGAAACTGACAGAGGTTAAATGACTTCCTCCAGAACCACACAACTAGGCTCTGACAGATTAAAACTTGGAAGTTCCTTGATTTCAGCGCTTTTGTTCACACCACTAGGCCTCCTGAGAACTGTCTGGTTTTGGAAATACAGGGAAAGCTACTCTGAACAGTAAAAAGAAGAAAAATGCAAGATAATTGGAAACCCAAGTAGTATGTCTCCTAGAAGCATTTTTGTGGATTTCCTTGTTCCTTTCTCTTCATTTTAAAATTCAACAAAAGCACATTGACTGAGTATTGTTGGTGATAACTCTTAAAATAATAGAAAAACAGGTTTGAAATAGGTCATTTTGAGGCAAATTAACCTTTCCACTGGGTGAGGGTGTCGTTTGCCAGAAGAGGAGGGATTACCCGTTTTATCCGGTGATGTAAAAAACTGCGGTAGATGTGGCCATCAAAACTAAGCAGCTCAAGTCCAGAACTAGAAAGGTTAAGACTGCATTATGCAAGTTCTGTCTTAAAATATGAAGGTTGAATGTAATATGTGAATCTCAGGAGACAAGATCTCCTGCATGTCCCTAGGTTTTATGGCCTAGTTAATTTCTTCATTTCTACCTATAAATAGTAAGTCCATAATTCCTTTGGTTTAATTAGCACTTCAGGGTATACAGTGTGATTCTATTGAGGTCCTCAGAAATGAAGATGGAGTTAACCAAGAGTTCATGAATCTGTCAAAATGCCTAATTTTTGTGATTAGAGCCATTAACTCTGTGTGAACTTCCTGGGCAAGGTACTTCTCTGCGTGGGCCTCAGTTTTCTATGAAATGTGATACTAAATTATTTCTAGGCTCCCTGCCAGTCCTAAAAGCTTATGATTGTTGTGTAAGAGGAATGCAAGAGTGGCATATCCTAAGTTCCCAATAATATTTGTTGGGTAGGTAAATCACATCATCATCATGCTGCATGTTGTTGGCTGCCATTGAGTAAGCTCAGACGCATGGTGACCTTATGTAACAGAAGAAAACGATGCCTGCTCCTGCACCATCTTCATGATCTTTGATATGTGTGAGCCTATTGTTGAAGTTAATGTGTCAGTCCATCTCATTGAAGGTTCCCCTTGTTTTCACTGACCCTCTATCAAACATGATGTCTTTTCTAGCAATTGGTCCTTCCTGATGATGTGTCCAAAGTAAGAGTCTTACCATCCTTGCTTCTAAGGAGCATTTGGTTGTATTTTAAGACTGATTTGTTTGTTTTTCTGGCAGTCCATGATCAATATTCTCGGCCAACGCCACAATTCAAATGCATCTATTCTTATATCTTATTGTGCTGCATACACTTACAAAGCATATATGACACCCTGGAGATCACCGTAGTCTATAAGGGTCAGAACACAAGAGACGGTGAGTGTCCAGACTAGGAAGATGGAGGTAAACTCAGTGGTTCACCATCTGGGCACAAGCAATCTGCATTTGGTTTATTTGGGATCTTTAAGAAAAAGCTGTTTTCTAGCCTGGGTTTGCTTTCTTACTTTCTCCTAGAATAATCCACCTGGCTAAGCTCATTTCTCATCACCACCTGTGTGGAATTTTCCATTTAAAAATCATTATTCCACTCAGAGGCACAGATTAAGAATCCATTATTCCCCCTTACAGTAGATTGCGATTCATACAGCTTTATGTAGTGTTGAAAGTCCAGTTTGTTGAAATTTTTTAGACCCTGAAATAGTTATTTTGCAATAAAAATTCATTTCTACCACTGGTTTGATAAATATTGAAATTAGCGGTATGAATCAGAATTTATCTAATATTTTTTATGAATAAGAAGCAGCTGTGGCAAGCAATAACCCACATCTTCTGATCTCTCGCTGTGATGTCCTTGGGCAAGTCACTCAGCCTTTCGAGACCTCAGCTGCTGCTTTTAGGAAATGAGTGGGGTGGACTAAGTAACCTTAAAGTCCTCTCCAGTTTATGACTAAGCTTTCAGAATATTTCTTCCTACTGAGAATCTTACTAATGAACTCAGAACTTGCACAATGCCCTCCATAGATTCTTTAAATGCCAGTTATCTGTATGCACTTTTAGTAATGAAATGGATAAATCAAAGTAGTTACAAACATAACTATTAATAATGTTTCATGACCAGGTGCCTCTGGGTAGATCTGAATTGCTAACCATTTGGTTCATAGCTGAGCATTTAACCATTTGGGCCACCTGGGTTCCACTCTTACCCACTGTAAGGGGTTGAATAATATCTCCCAAAAAGATATGTTCACTTCCTAACCCCTGGTAACTGTGAATGTTACCTTATTTGGAAATAGTCTGCAGATGTACTCAGTTAACATGAGGTCATACCGGAAAAGGATGGCCCCTAATCCAATAGTGCCCAATCCTAGCGGTGTCCTTAAAAGAAAAGAGTCACAAAGACACAGAGAAGATGGCCATGTGAAGACAGAGGCAGAGATTGGAGTGATGCATCTATAAGCCAAGGAATGCCAAGGATTGCCAGAAACCACCAGAAGCTAGGAGAAACAAGGAAGGATCTTCCCCTAGAGCCTTCAGAGAGAGCATGGCCCTGCTAACATCTTGATTTCAGACTTCTGGCCTTCAGAACTGTGAGATAATAAGTTTCTTTTAAGCCAAAAAATAATGTTTCATGAGATGCTTGCAAAAAGGGCCTAGTACTATATCTGGGACAAATTAGGAGCTCAATGGTAGCTGTTAGTATAGTAAATAATGAATGTAGATTTTAAAAAATAATACTGCGTTTTTGGAAGGTTAGTCCAAAGGACTAATGGACCACAGCTACCATGGCCTCCACCAGACTGAGTCCAGTACAGCTAGATGGTGCCTGGCTACCACCACTGACTCCTCTGACCGGGATCACAATAGAGGGTCCTGGACAGAGCTGGAAAAGAATGTAGAACAAAATTCTAACTCACACAAAAAAGACCAGATTTATTGGCCTGACAGACTGGAGAAAACCTGAGAGTATGGCCCACGGACACCCTTTTAGCTCAGGGGTGAAGTCACTCCCGAAGTTCACCGTTCAGCTGGGGATTGGACAGCCTCATAAAACAAAACGGGACTAATGAGGCACAGCAATCCAGGGACAAGGACTGGAAAGCAGGAGGGGACAGGAAAGCTGGTGATAGGGAACCCAAGGTTGAGAAGGGACAGTGTTGACATATCGTGGGATTTTTAACCATTGTCATAGGGCAGTATGTGTACTGTTTAATGAGAAACTATTTGTTCTGCAAAACTTCATCTAAGGTACAAAAAAAAAGAAAAGAATTATCTATGTGAGATCAAATTGACAACAGCAACTCAAAAGCTTTGATGGGAAGCCTAGGGGGCAGTGAGTTGAAGATAATGGTGATGGAATAATTTGGAAAAGGATAGTGAGAATAGCAGCACAATG